CGATTCTAGATTGCGAAGAAACTTATCTCGTGCGTTTTTCTTACGGCTCTCTCGAGTTTCTTTGTGTCCGCGGATCGGAGGGCACGCCAAACCGCGAGCTCTAGCTTGAGAGACAGCTGCTGCTGCGGCTGCTTACGGCTATCTCTCGCACTGATCTGTTTTTCACGGTCCAGAACGTTTTATTGTGCAGATATCGCCGATCACCTGGCTGCTCTTCATGCTCAGAAAATTAATGAAACATGACAGAACACACAGCGTTGCCCGTAATGCGCGAGAGTTTCTCAAGTGAAGGGGAAAAACTCGACACCGCCGATAAGACGATTGGCTGGTAATTTCGCGTCTTTACGCCGCCCACTACTTCGACAAGCGAAGATGCTATCGTCATCTATATCGTCTAGTATGTTTAGCACGTCTAGTGGAAGCATGAAATCGACGACGAACGCCGCGTGGCAGGTGGTTAGACGTAATTACAATATTACGAGTTATAATAAAAACAAGATCTTCACAATAAGCGGCTTAAAAAAGAAATACTAACCACGATGCGGGTCATTGAGAATGAGCGAAGAAAACGAACGCGTAGAAAATGATGCTATCAGGGTAAACGCATCTCACATTACCCGTTTTGTAATTCAACCTTTCGCTATTTGTCAAAGTTTCAAGTAAAATACAATAAAGCAGTGAAACCAGTGTGAATTCGTGAACGCACAATTCTGTGCAATTACATTTTGAATAGCAAAAACATTATTTCGAATTGATAAAATCATCTAATTGGGCCAGCCATAATGCTAATAAAATGATTGCCTTTAATCACATTCCTACGCTTCTAGTCCATGTTGTCAATACATTAGAAAATATCGAGAAAGGATGAGAAAAATATCCTATCGTAGAACTGCATGAGCATAGAGTGCATATTGTAGAAATTTTTTACAATCAATTCTATCAAATCACCCACGAAACTACATGCGACAAAATAAACACGTATTCTACGCCTACGTTCCATTGTAGCATATATAGAGCGTTCTACCCACATACCTATATAATATACGTATAGCATACAGACTATAAGTTATGACCCAGTTTGTCAAGCACTTCCTTCCGAAATTTTACATTTGAAATGCAATATTAAATTTACATTCACTAATGTAAAATTATAAATGATTAAAGTGCCATAGATACCAAGAAAGTTAAACAGATGACGCTGAAACTCTCACGTTCTTCTACCAACGACGTGAGCGTGATCGAATGTATTTAGTTTTGCTACATCGGACCGCGACAAAGTCACAACGTTTCAAAGCAGGTTAAACATAGAACATCAGTAAAACTGGCAGAGGGTATGTTGGCCACTCCTCTCCGAGCAGTTCTGTTGTCCTACTAGCTGTCAAGTGTTTAGACAGGGCTGCCTTCACTGTTTTCATACTGGTGAAGACGTGCGCGGCTCTATGACGAATGCCTGTTAAAATATTAAGTCAGCTGGCCCCTTTCACCGAAAATGACATCGGCCATGTTATCTTAGGCATTTTAAGTTCGCCGTCGTCTGTGCACAGCAACACATTACATGGCGCACGGCACACCGCACACTCACTCCGCACTCTGAAATAACATGCCTGATAAAACACTACACCTCTTATTCCCGTAGCGGGAGCACGAGAAAAAAATTGCAGTGCCGGGGATCGAAGGAAGGATAGGGATAGTGTGCGGGCGTGGATTTGCATGCGCGCGTGCGTACGTGCGTGCGTGGATGGATGGCGTGTGACAATGCTAAAAAAGAGAGGGAGCAATGGATAGATAGAATGATAGGGAGGAGAGGGTAAACGAGATAGTAAAAAATAAAGATATTCAGAGAGAGAGAGAGAGAGGGAGAGAAAAGCGAAAGAGAGAAATATATATTGGTACGAAAGAAAGGGAGAGAGACGGGGGTAAAAGGGAGAGAGACGGGGGTAAAAGGGAGAGCGAATTATGATATAGAGGTGTATATTGTTCCAGTAATGGATTAACCTGTTATGGTCACTTGGACTTTATTAGACTTCTATTGGATATCAGCTTCATCAGCGTTTTTTTTTACAAGAAGCACGTGTTGCTTATCCTGGCCATTTACATAAGTTTTGAAAAACACAACTTCACTGAGAAAGAATAACGAGATTTTCTTGAAAAATTAAAATGACATTATTGACATGAATGACATTAACTTGCATTCTTGAGAAATTAAAATGACATTATTGCGCAGATTATTTACACCCAACTACATTTTAAAATGATAACAAGAATTTATCCTCCTCGTCATATACAATTGGCGCAGCTAGCATCATAGAATTATCACACCTAAATGCCATAAAGCCAGCAGATGTGTAAAATTATTGTTTTCATTTTGTCATTCTACCGCGAATGAAACCCTCTGGAACGTCAAGAGGGGAGATGACGGATGCCTGCACTCGCATAAAGATGTTTTATTCATTTATCAATGGGAAAAAGATTCCCAAAAGAGGCAGCGACAGAACGTTTATCAATATTGCACAGGGTATTTATAGCTAAAAGCCTGGGGCCTAGCTGTCCAGTAATTGATAATCAATTGCCTAAATGTTTTGGATTATAGGAGTACGAATCAGACGCAAAATCCGCCGTGCCCTGCACAACATTACCACCTAGCATTGATCAACCCACCCGAATTTTAAAGCAAACAACTGAATTGGATTAAAGCGAAGCGAATATATATCATTGACGTGACTAGGTATCTCTACGGCGTTTCGTAATATGAAACCGTGCAGCTGTTCTAATGTATACGACCTTTAAGCCAAGATTAATATAGTTCATTACGCGGCTAATCCATTCCTGATATATTGTATTTCTACAGTATATCGGATATTCTATTACATGGTTTCTTCGGATTGCGGATGTTCCTTGGGCTCATGCCATACAATGGCAACAACAGTTTACTCACATTATGCCCGATGTATTTCTCACCCGATGCTCATTCTTTCGCTTTCTCTGCCTCATACTGTCCGTCTTTCCCCTCTTGCTTCTACACTCGCCCCTTTATTACCTTTCCCTGCTGCACATCTACCTGTATTCATTACGCTTACGACAAACATAATTGCGACTACCTATATTGACAAACGGGAAAATCTCTTACGATTTCGATGGACAATGGTAGACGACACCGAAGATATACAGCAAACTGTACAGTTACAGGTAGAGTTAGGTGAGCTGAGCAATAACGCGGATAGCAAATAACCTCTTCGCGTGTTAAACGGCTTAAGAAGAAGTCACGCTCAACAAATAGCCAGGCGCACGAGCCTGAATCATACATGATTCATGGCTAGATCACACTTATGAAGCTCTCAGACGATAGCTTCGCACGGCATTAGTCATTAGAGAAGGGTACGCCGACACTAACTGTTTACGTTTAAAAGAAATTATACTATTTATTTCATTTCTCGCACGATTTCGAGGAGGTGGTCAGACAAATTGTCCGCGTTCTTCGTGGCAACGATTCAAACAGAGCAGATCAATTTCGATTTAAATATTTATCCACGCTAACGGACAGATGCTGGTACAATTTGCCCAATTTGTACAGTGAGCCCCCCTTATGTGTCACATTAGGTTAGGCAATGGAGAGCCTCTAGCTTCAGCTGAGCTGCTGATAAGGAAAAGAGACTTACACTACGTCACGTGTTTACAATGCTCCTTCTGACGGAATCGCATGCCCGCACAGACAGCACACGTACGAATAGCGCGGCAAAGATACAGTCGTACGCAACCGCTACTTCGGCGACGATCAATTACTGGGGGCAGTCTAAGAGATAACTCCGTCATATAATCTATAGGTGTGTATAACACGGTGAGCAAAAGACGCTCGCTGGCCTCTACCGACAAGGTTACTAAGTAATGCTCCTGGCAACACTTAGTCGATAAGTGAGTAATGAATGAATGAATCACGAGGGAATTACGAGCGCTGCAATCCAATAAGTGTAATCTTACAGACGTTTGACTACACTTACTCGGTTGCACACACTCACGGCAGCAGCACGCAAAGCATATGGTCGTGCGCTTCCCTACGCGACGCGAGAGGCTTGCTGGTTGAGTGAGGATGGCGAGGAAAAGGCTCCGTCTATTGCTGCTTAGCCGTGTGTGACCGCGGCACATGCGGGCCTGACACCTGCCTCTCTCTCTTGCGAGGCCCACCAACCAGACGGAGAGTGCGGCCGGGTCAGTATATACACCCACAGAGGTACAGTTGTTCGCTAGTAATCAGGGTGAACTGTTCGTGAGGGAAATACTGCGCTTCCTGCTCTATTTACGCCAAGAACGTATTAAAACGTTATTCATAACCCCGATGCATAAACAGAAAAAAAACGTGCGCATGTTTGCAGGTGCACTAATTTGCAGAAGTCGTATTACCAGTTAAAAACGTGCAAATATCCTTTCTGCGCCCTATAAATGATTGTCACTGAGCTACTTGCCCTGGTCTAAAAGGAAATTGTTACTAAATCAATAGGCAAGCCACGTTATTTGTGCAATTTACTATATTACCTAATTACATGTAAATCTACACCAATTTCATTCTTTGACAAATTACTAAGCAAAAAGGTTAATTTGCGGGTGAAATGATCTTATTCCTATCCGCGGTTCGTAGCTTTTAACTAATGAATAACCTAAAGCACACTACGAACGTTAGTATAACGTGTGATTGTAACCAACACCAGCACCTTTATTCAGGAGTAACATTCTATCAGGAGTGAATAATAGAGATTAATACAGAATTAATACAGAACAATAGAGATCTTTATTATTCACTCCTGATTCTATCCAAACGAGACCACTATTAACTAGCAAACCCCTAAGTAACTCCGAACTCTCATACCTAAAAGTACAATTTCTCACCTCTTCGCGTATAGTTCGCTACGTATATAGTAACGAGAAATGAGCGATACGCGAGAATGTGCAACATAACCGACTTTAAAAAAAAACTTCATCAATATAAAAAAATATATCAATATGCCTAC